AGGGGAAGGGAAGGATTGGGCCTCTAGTAAAGTCAATCACACGGCGAAACACAACGCTGTGGTTGTTATAATTATGCTGGTTTTCTGTGAGGTCGTGGTAGGCCTATAACTCCGGTCGCGCCGACCCATTTGTATTGCAGGGCTCACCTACACTTAAGTATTACACACCATCTACATGCCGCAAAGTAAAGCATGAATTCGATTATCAGTCTTGAGTTAGTGAGGTGATTAATGTTTTTTTCCTTCTCCAAGTGAGATGAAAATGTTGGCTCAGCAGTAAATGCTTATAGGTTGATGATGTAATGTGAATTTGTATCTACATAATCTTTGATCACTGTATTGTTACTTCTAGAACATTGACCCCTAAAATCCAGGAAACATTGATCATAACTATTAATAAATAATGAATGTCTAATCTCTGACGTCAACTTTCCATTGATTTATGACTGTGAGGTTATCTTAGCGATTCGATGATAGCCCAACGTTGGTTTCCTAAAGATAAAGTTCTATTGCAGCTTGTTTTATTGCTTTGTTATTAAAGTTTCCCATTAAATATTGTTTGTGTATTTAATTAATATGGTTATAATAGCTGTACTAGGAGATTGGCTGACAGACTGACACTTTTTATTTATAGTACCTTATTTGATGTTCAACAGTGCCGTATAATGTTATAATAGACACATGATTAGCGCAAAGGCTAGGCATCTGGCTGTTGGGCAACGTTTAGAGGGTTCGATTCTTGCACGGAACAACACTTTGTGTGATATACAAATTGGTTTTCCGGTATACATATCTAGGTAGATTATATTTGTGAATTTGTAATGATGTGATCGACACAGAAAAACCTAGTACAAGTACTTATAGGGCGTAAGGCAACGTTCATTACAAAAGTAAAATAATGATTTTGATTTTGACTTGCAATTTTATATGTTTGGTATTTTGATAACGTAGTGCGATTTCATCAACCTAGATTTTGTTTTTTTACCTTGCAATAAAGCACCGGCCTCGGCCTAGAGCAGGAAAAGGAACGGGGAGTTTTTAGTCAGCAAGGGCTTTAACGAAGGGTACCAAAAATATACATTGTCATTGACTTTCGATTATTCAATGTTTATATATGTATCTAGCCTATGTCCTATTCCTGAGTGTATCCTATGCCTGTGTCAAATATCATCCAGATCTATCCAGCCGCTTTGGCGTGATTGAGTAACAAACATCTAAACATCGTAACTTTCGCATTAATTTAATTATTAGTAAGATAAGATATATTACATCTTTAGATATAAAATTTTCATGTCACGTGTTTGTCCGCAATGGACTCCTAAACTACTAAACCAATTTAAAATTTGATTTGCATTCCGTCTGCACTTTGTTCCAACTTGAAAGATAGGATAGCTTACATCTCAATTTATAGTCACCATATTATTTACCTTAGCCACAGCAACGCGTGGCTGGGTCTGCTAGTTTTCACTATAAAACCTGATCTATTTCGCAAGTAACAGTCAAGTTTGTCCAGTTTTTTGTTTGCTTTACTTCTGTTTGGAAAATTTTGTGAGTGATTCATTGTTCTTATTTCGATAGAATTCTTTTAGCTGTGTTGTTAGGCAGTAGTGTTTGACTTAGAATTTCTCAGTTAGGTAAATCACGTGAATAAGTCACTCTAAGACAATTAACAGGATTAAAAACGATCTTTCTTATGAGATCAATAATATACTTAGAGTAGTCATAGATATAGAAACAAAGTACCCAAGTGTTCTGTTAAGTCAGCTGGCAACGTAATATTAATATTTCTTTCCATACTTCCCATACTAATGAATCTTACCCCAACAACTTGTAAACGAAGTTCTGCTGAGTCAGAGTGATCAATTACAACTCTTACGTATCAATATCGAAAGTTAATTATCGTTTGTCAAAATATTTTATCTTTTTATAAGATAATACCTAGTTTGATTGGCTTTGTTTTTTTTTCTTTGTTGCATTAAGTTTTTATGTTTTGTTTAGATTTTGAAGACGGTCCAACAATAATGTGTTTTCTACTAATGGTAAACTTTGGTTCTAAATAAAATGTGTTAAGTTTATAAAAATGAAACTATAAATCGATAAATATAGGTACGTTCATAAGTCGCAAATGCAATTAGTATAATGTCTATTATGCTCTGCAGGACTCTGCTTTTTGACTTTTTTATGGAATAAGTCGGCTAACGAGCAGAAAGATTACCTGATGGTAAGCAATCGATGTCGCTCATGGACACCCGCAACACCAAAGGAGTTACGAGTGCATTGCTGGCCTTTTGGGGATAAGAGTTACGGATATAAGGATTGGGTAAGGATAGGGGAGGGGGAGGGATTGGGCCTCCAGTAACCTCTCTCACACGGCGAAACACACGTTGTTTTACGCCGGTTTTCTGTGAGGCCCTGGTATCACTCCGGTCGAGCCGACCCATTCGCACCAAAGCATGGCTCTCCCACACTTTAAAATGTACCCCGACTTCGGCCTGGAGCAGGCAAAGGTACGGAATGGTTTGAAATCAGCAAGTCACACACACACTCAAAAAAGCAAAAAGGACGTGGCATACAGCTGTGTATTAATTTAAATGTGGGATACAATTTAGAGAATCCAGTCTACAGATTTACAAAGCCACACAAACTAACGAAATACATTTAATATATTTTATTAACTGTACCCCTAGCTTATGGGTTACTGGGTTCCGGACCTCGAACACAAATCTCTTTGCAAACACCAAAGAATTTCCCTTCGTTGACCCTCGTAAGTTATACCTTTTCCCTTAGTTAAATCTCGTTCGAGAGATAAATGTCGAAAGAAATACGATTGTTAGATGTACCTATAGGTAGATAACTTTGTTACGTATAATTATGTAGATAGTGCTGGGCTTAAATTGTTTTACTCGATATTCTGAAATAGTACGGCCGAAACAAATCTTAAATCGATCACTTATTTTCGATATGACGACATATTAAAATTGTAATTTTAAATTTTTTTTATGTAATCGATCGGCAAACGGGCAGACGGATACCTGATGGTAAGTAATCAGCGCCGCCCATGGACACCCACAACGAAGAAGTTACGAGTCAGTGCGTTGCCGACCTTTTAGGGATTAGGGATTTGGAGATTTAGGGATTGGGGTGGGGAAGGATTGGGCCTACGGTAACCTCATTCACACGGCGAAACACAACGCTGTGGTTTTTCCACGCCGGTAGTTGGTTGTTTCTATTTTTTTTTGTATTTGTGTATTTTGACAAGTTATAAATAGAAACAAATGTATGTGATGTGAATACATCTGTTGACCATATGAGTTATCGATGACCTTCAGAAATGCAGGCATTTATTTCATCCCTAAAGCGATAACGATCTGTGAGCTGCAGGTCTTACCATGAAGTGTTAAAGCGTGAATCTTCCGGGCGAGAAAGAAGAATGGAGCTATAAAAGGTGTATTACTCCATCCCTCGTCCTGTTTTCACGATAATCTTGTCCCTCTCTGTTCTTTTCACGATAATCTTGTCCCTCTCTGTTCTTGTCACGATAATCTTGTCTCTATCCAAACTAATATTATAAATGCGAAAGTAGCTCTGTCTGTCTCTTTGTCTTTTCTTCACGCCTAAACTACTGAACCGATTTCTGTGAAATTTGGTACAGACATAAAGTCAAAAGTCATTAATTTCAATTAGGCTACAGTGGGCACTGTTGAACGTCAAGGTTATAGTTTGGAGGAAGGACATAAGATAGTTTTTATACCAAAATTTTGCTCTAGGAACTCACTATTCCACGCGAATGGAGTCACGGGAAAAAGATGGTAATTACATATAAACATGCACAAATTTTACAAATTGAAGATTGTGTACTCTTTCTTCAATACGAAGCTAGCTGTATCAAAATCAAAGTCTGATCGTTTTACACAGAAACAGATTTTAATAGCGGCATTCCTTTTGTCTGTAAATAAACGGGTGACATTCATTGCTACCATGTGTTTCTTGCATTCAGTGTTCTGCTGACGTTTTTATATTCTTCAAGTCCGTGTGAAGATCCAAAATAATTGTACTTTTATGGTTTATTATGTTACCAACGCAGTGTTTAGCTTCGATGACAGCCTGACGACATGATAATACTATTTATTCGAAGCTGTTAAAACGAGTTGGTTCATATTTTCTTTTTTGGTCGTCTGTCGTTCTTGTCTGTGGAATATTCTCGATTATAAGGTCGGTAATAAGAGGTATCGGGTGGTGATTTTGGTGTTTCTTTTTTTTATGTAAGACTTATTTTAAAGTTTTCCATTTTACTTGATATTTCTCACATGTGAGTTGTTGCTGCAAACAGACTTGGTATAGTTTTTATTTTCGGTTCAACTTTTGAAATATTTGCACTTGTCGAGGTTATGGTGGCCCGGTTAAGCTTCCGCTTCTGAAGGACGAGGGTGCTGGTTTAAAACATGGCAAATAGGTACCAATGAGACTTTTTTATGTCTAGAAAGTACCTACGTAGTTGTACTGTGTAGGGAATAGGGACTGTCTAAGTTTATTTAGACACCATTGATAAACGGTGAAAAATATCTGGATTGAAAATTTCTAATTATTAGTTTGAATTCACCAACCCGCCTTGAGCAAGCGCGGTGATTAATGTTTGAACCTTCGAGTGAAAAAACGCCTTTGCTTAGCGGTCCGCCTATATGTACGCTAATGATGTTTGCAAACTTATTTTTTTTTTTAGTGGTTCCTAATCAAATAAATAACATTATACATTCAACTAATACAGTAGGGTACTGTAGGTTGTTAGGTCAGTGGTTAGATCGTCACTGTATGATTTAATGGAATGGATTCTTAGAAAAAAACCAACATATAATTTAAAATAAATAAATAGCTGTTTATTATCCACTTACAGATCACATTATTATTCCTTTCCAATCAAATTTAGAAACAGATATAATTTATCGTTCGTTAAATGAACCTTTTATAATAAATTAAGATATAAATTTCGTTAGGAACATTAATTAATCTGTGAATTCGCTGGAGGGAACGTTTTTGAAGAATTCCTCAACATTTTCGATGATCCTGCCAACGATGGCCTTGACAAGTGGGGGGCCGACTTCCTTCACTATTTCGTTGCTACTGGATTCAATCATCTCATGGGCGGCACGACCTGAGAAATTAATATGATTTAATGGGAAGGAAATTATATTATATAATATTACACAAAAAAAAACATTATACAAGTAAATAAATAACAAAGAACTTGGTTAAAGAAGAAAAAAGGTTTTAACAGTAATTTTTGGTCATAAAACCTCTAGGATTTGGTTTGACGGCAAATTAACGAAATTTTATAGCTCAATATAAAAAATATTTCGGTCAATATGTACTGTCTCTGTTGATTCTTGCAACTTGACCAGCTTGCTTGCATGGGGAATATAAATTAAGCAAACTATTTCTTTTGCAGAATAGACCCATAGCATAGCAGTGGAGTCTCATGGACTGGGTTTTGGTTTGGTTATTAAGTGCGGGAGAAACATGCTTCGGCACGAATAGGTCGGCTTGACCGGATTGAGACCACGGTTTCCCAGAAAACCGGCATGGAACAACCACACCATTGTGTTTTGTTGTGTGTGACTTATCGGAGACCCTATCCTTAATCTCCTCCAACAATCCCTCCCCAAATCCTAAATCTGCACAATCCTAGCGTTGTGTGTCTATGAGCGGCGCCGATTGCTTACCATCACGTATTCCGTCAGGTCGCTTGCCATGCTATCACGTAAAAAAAAACAAGTTGTGGGTACTCACTCAAAACTTGGTTTCCGTTAAAGAGATTTTCCAGTTCGATGGTAGATTTTTCTTTGACGTCGTATGTGTGTTTCCAGTTCTTGATAGTCCAGTGTTTCTGTCCGTCTCGACCCAGGTTGTCACCAATATCAACTTCAGCGGTAATCACTACTTTTCCTAGATAACAGTAAAAGAGTATAAATATAAAATATTTTTCTGGGCAATTGTATTCTCATCGCTTCAAAGAAAAGGTTATTTCTTTTCAAGAGACGTCAAATTTAAAAATATTTTTACTATGGCACTTATTATACTCTTTAAGAAGTACAAGTTATAGTCAACTAGCATATCTTAATCAGCCTGCTTAGAATCATCACCTTCATTAGGATACCTTAATCAACTTAATTCAGTGTTTTCCCGACTGTAATCTATCGCAATGCCTCAGAATACAGAACAAACCGCTATGCCAAATTACATCTAGAAAAGAACATTTAGAAACTCCTGCATAAAAGAGTAACCAACAATATATAATATATACAATACTCCAACTTACTGAGTACAACGTGAGCGTCTCCCTTTCCTTCAATAGGCAAAACGAGTAAACGTCCCTTCATCTCATATTTCCCGACGAAATCGACGGTGCACTGCAGTTTGACAGTAATTTTCGATTTTTCAACATCACGTCTGTGAACGAAAAATGTTTGTCAATTTTTGCTTTTATGGACGATATAGAAAACACAGAACGAAGTTTTTTTGCAATGGCTGATGGCGGTGATGATCAATTGAATAAAAGTTATAAAAAATATTGTTACGTGCCTGACGTCACGTTTCTGACTATGCGGGCTTGGGTTACGGGATTGGGTGAAATGAAACACTAATACCGGTTTTCAGACTTTCTATTGCACTTAACAGCAGAGTCCGGCCGACTGACACAACTTTGCCGTTCACGCTGACTTAACTCACTTAACTGACTGCACTTCACTATTTCACTGCACTTCACTATTTCACTCACTATTCTTCTTTTTCACTTCTTCCTTTTCTTCCGAATCGCTTTAGACTTAGAACTCAACTGCCAGCGGTGAGCCGCAGTTCCGCTTATATACCCCCGGTCAGGTTCTGGAACATTCAATTTCGTTATTCTTTTTGATCGTCATGCCTCCAGAACCTTCCAATAATTTCGTTATTCATTTTTATTTATTCTCCTTCTCGCTCTTTAATTTTTCATTTCTTTTACACAAATAATTCCAGAAAGTTCGACAAAACTTCCATCAACTAAAAAACTTCATGTTTACGGCGGGACTCGAACTCGGGGTCTCTGTGGTGTAATCCACACGCCTTGCCGATTACACCAACTCGTGTTGACAATTCACGACGAAATTTACAATCTCTAGGCAACGTTTGACAACCATCCATTGACGTCATGATGACAAAGAGTTTGAACCACTTTTCCGTCACACTGCCCTCCTCTTAGATTCGCTCGTCCCGAGCATCGTTGCTGCCGTAGTACCTCGCCAACCTGTCTATATGGACAACTTTCAAAGGGCTCCTTGAAGTCTTCCGAATTCTGTAAGTAATGTCATTGATCTTCGTGACTATCTCATAAGGACCTTCCCAACTCGGTTGCAGCTTCGGAGATTTTCCCTTCCTTCTGACTGGATTATGAAGCCAGACCAATGACCCCTCTTCAAACCCAACAGAATTGGCTCGTCGATCATAGCGCGTCTTTGCGCGATCACTAGCTTGAAGACCGGCCTCCCTGATCTGCTCATAAATGTCCAACATTTTTGCCCTTAACTCGCTTATGTAATCGCTAAACTCGGTGCGAGAGTCACCAGGTGGACAGCCCGATACAAGATCTGCCGGTAATCTCAATTCCCTTCCAAAATTTGCAAATGCAGGCGTCTTTGCGGTACTTTCATGTACAGCAGTCCGATAGGCAAGCAAGAAGAGAGGTATGTAAGTGTCCCAATCTCTCTGATGGCTGTCAACCACCTTTGCTAAGTGTCGCTCCAATGTTTGGTTGAAGCGTTCGACCATGCCATCTGACTGTGGATGATAAGGGGTCGTTCGAGTCTTATGGATTCCCAAAAGTTTACAAGTTTCCTGAAAAACTTGGGATTCAAAGTTCCGTCCTTGATCACTGTGCATCTCCAAGGGCACTCCGAATCGGGTGAATACCTCGTTTACCAACTTCGTGGCTACCGTTACTGCCTCTTGATTCGGTATGGCAAAGACCTCCGGCCATTTTGTGAAATAATCCATAACCACTAAAACGTAGCGATTGCCCGAATCAGTGATTGGAAATGGTCCAGCGATGTCTAAGGCTATTCTCTCCCAAGGCATACCAACATTGTAGATTTTCATCGCCCCTCTGCTTCTTGTTTGTGGGCCCTTGACAGCTGCACAACTAGTGCATTTCCGGCACCAATCTTCGACGTCATATTTGCAATGCAACCAATAAAACCTCTCCTTGATCTTCACCAAAGTCCTCCTAATTCCCAAATGTCCTCCAGAAGATCCATCATGGAACGCTTTTAATACATCCCTTATTTTTGAACGAGGCACCACCAATTGCAAATGCTCGTCCTTGCCGTTTGTTGATTCCCATTTCCTGCACAGAAGTCCGTTATGCAGCGTAAGGCTTTTCCACTGTGCCCATAAACCTTTCGTTACCGCGCTATATTGGGCGACGTCACTCCAACTTGGCTTGTTACCACTTCGTAGCCACTCCAGTATTGGTTTAATATCTGCATCTCTTTCCTGTTCTAATTTCATCGCATCATCTCCCCATGCCTCGTCAACAGTATCAGTCCTTATCACCTTAAGAAAAGCAGTTTCCTTCTTGGCACAATGCTTGCAATCTTCCACGCATGGGCGTCTCGATAATGCATCTGCGTTGCCATGAATTCTTCCGCCGCGATGTTCGATTTCAAAGTCAAATTCCTGAAGTTGTTCCAACCATCTGGCTACTTGGCCTTCGGGATCCTTAAACTGAAGCAGCCATTTCAAAGCAGCGTGATCAGTTCTGATCAAAAATTTTCGTCCCAGTAAATACTTCTTGAAATGGTGCAGAGTTTTGACTACGGCCAGCAATTCCCTCCTGGTCACGCAATAATTCCTCTCCGGCTTGGATAGTGACTTGCTGAAGTAAGCAATAACCTTCTCCTGCTCACCATCGCGTTGTGAAAGGACACCTCCTATTCCAATATTGCTGGCATCCGTATCAACTACGAATATTCCTTTCGCACTGGGGTATCCGAGAATTGGTGTGTTACAAAGCCGTTCTTTTAGTTCTCGAAAGGCTTGCTCACAATCCTCGCCCCAGATAAAGGTACGTTTCTCCTCTGTCAATCGATGCAATGGCTTGGCAATGTCCGAGAATCCTTTCACAAACCGCCGATAATACGAGCACAATCCAAGAAATGCCCGAACTTGCGTTTTGTCTTTAGGTGTTGGCCATTCCTTAACAGCGGCAGTCTTGGCTGGATCAGTCTCAATTCCTCTCTCAGAAATAACATGTCCTAGATAATTCACTTCGCGCTTGAAGAAAGAGCATTTCTTTGGACTCAACTTTAAATTTGCTCCACGCAGCTTGTCGAGTACCTTTTCCAATTTCCTTAGATGATCGTCAAAATCCCGTCCAACAATGATGATGTCATCGAGGTAAACTAGGCAGGTTTCGCCCAGCAGTCCCGCCAGCACCTGTTCCATCAAACGCTCAAAGGTTGCCGGTGCATTGCATAATCCAAATGGCATCACCTTAAATTGCCAGAGTCCCTTCCCAGTTGAGAATGCGGTCTTTTCCTTGTCCTTGGGATCCAAATCCACCTGCCAATAGCCGCTTTTCAGATCGAGCGTTGAAAACCATTTCATGCCACTCAGTGTGTCAAGTGTGTCATCGATTCTTGGTAACGGGTAGCTATCCTTCTTGGTTACATCATTCAATCGTCGATAGTCTACGCAAAACCTCGTTGAACCATCTTTCTTCTTGACAAGCACGACAGGTGAACACCAAGGGCTAGAAGAGGGCTCTATCACGTCATTTTTCCTCATATCGTCAATCATTTCTTCAACCTCTTTCTCACGAGCGAATGGTATACGTCTGGGCCTTTGACGAATTGGCATTGTATCACCTGTGTTTATTTTATGCTTCACCAAACCAGTTCGGCCAATATCACCATCGCTTCTTGAAAACACATCAGAGAATCGAAGAAGTAAATTTCTAGCTTTCATAGTCTCCACTTTTGTCAGACTTTTGTTTTCGTCTAAGATTTTCGTTACAAAGTCTATTCCCGTACTGTCCTTCTTCACAAGATTCTCCGAGCATTTTCTTATCCAGGCCACTTCTTCCAATACGCCCACAGGCTCTCCTTCTTCAATCGTAATTTTTGAATCACTGAAGTTGAATACCGGAATGCGGTTGACATCAGATGACCCCACGACAGTTCTTGCCGGTAGCCATGAGCTTACGTGTTCCGATTTATCAATCACAGCGCACCTTCGAGGTAAACTTCCTTCCTTCCTCCTAGGTAATGCGATTGGTACGAGAGTCTGTGATTTTGGTGCAAGAACAGTTCTTCTTAAACAGCAAACTTTTCCCAGGGTTCCACCCTTCATCGGAATTTCCTCAGTTCCACATAGTAAAACTCCAGATTTTAAGTCGATGTTACACTGGTGCCCTCGCAGGAAGTCAAGTCCCAGGATGCAGTCATCCAGAATTTCGGCCACAATAACCTCATGTCGATAAACACGTTCCCCAATTTTGATCGTTACCTGCAGTTTTCCACTTATCGGTATGCACTGGCCGGTAGCTGATTTCATTCGTAGGCCGACAATTGGTTTAAGGTGTTTCCTGATGTTTTGCCCGAGCAGCCGAACATTTATCACCGTCCTTGAAGCTCCAGTATCTAATGTTAGCTGACTGTTTTTCCCATTTACTTGACCGTCTATCACCAGAGTATTTCCATCGTTAGTTTGCTTGATGTAGATTGTTGGGGTTGTTCCACTACCGGCCAGCGCCCACCCCGCAGCCCTGGCTGGATTTAGTTTCCCTGCTGGTCAGAAGTTGAGACCGCCGCGTCCTGGCGGTTCACCTTCTTCGGGCAGTTACTACGCATGTGCCCACGCTCTCCGCATCCATAGCACATGAAGTTCCGACGGCGTGGAGGTACCTGCTCCGTTGTCGTCATTTCCCGCAGACGTAAGGTACGGGAGTTACCACGCACGGCTTCCACTTCCAATGCATGAGCCAGAGCTTCTTTCATGTTCTTGTGATGGCCCAGATGAACAGCAGCTCGTACTTCGGGGTCCCGAACACCGTCAATGAATGCTTGGAGAAGCGTGCCTTCAATCATTGACGGAGTCGACCGGAAAGCTCGACGCACAAGTTTCTCGATTTCCACGGACCATTGCTGTAGACTCTCATTAGCACGCTGAGTACGCTCTTTTAATTGCGCTCTGTACACGTGCTCGAGGTGGCTGTCTCCAAAACGTGCCTCAAGTGCGTCGAGGAGGGCACTAAAGCTGAGATCCCCACTTGCGCCGATAGCTTCCAGCACTGAGAGCGCTTGATCACGGAGGGCCAGGGTGAGGGCTGACTGTGCTTCCTTCTGAG